TTCTAAATTCAAACAACAGATGGCATGTAATTTATTACTGTATTGTTTTAGCTGAAGAAGCTGTAACTAAAGATGAATTGTTTAATGCAAAACAAGAAGCATCTGAAGAGATGGACCAAGGTGCTGAGGCCTCAGGAATACCCGAAAGGTGAGTGTCCGTGGTTCCATGTATCACAAACCCTGCAAATGTAAGTAGAAATTTGAATGGAACCAGAGAAACCAATTGCCAAAATCCTACTTTCCTGGAATAATACAGGAAGTGATGTTGGCAGGAAAGTGACAGAGTTTGCCACTGTCACGGGGCAGAGCATTAGGGATCCAAAACTTCCCCTAGACATCACAGGCTCAGATGAGCTAGGCAGAGGGAGGGATTGAGAATTTGGTTTGGAGAAAAGAGTGACAAACTGATAAGGAGCAGGGACCAAGAGATAGTCGTCCTTCCTTCCTCTCACAGCAAGCGTTCTGTCAGCCCTCGTTAGTCCTGTGTGAACCCCTGCCCCCAGTAAGGGGTGCAGCAGGCGGGAAACAGCTGCCATGCTGCGGGCTTCCATGGTGTCTGTGGAAGGGACCGTTCCACAGGGCCAGTTTTGGCTTGAAAAGTTCTGGTCTTTGGTGCGGAATAAGGGGTTGTGCCTGAAGATACCAGGAATTGGGCACAAGACTGGAAAAGGGTGGTGAAGATTTGAAATACGTGCTGTGGGGAACTGGGAAGGAAGGACGAGAGGAAGTGGGAAGGCTTTGGGGGCAGCACGGCGTATCTGACCGAATTTCGAGACCGTCAGTTTTAGCGGGTGTCTGCCTGGCTGTGCGAGGGCCCGATAGAACCTGGGGCAGCAAGGAGCGTGTCCCATCTGCCCCTTGCTGCGGGAGAAGACGGCCCAGCTCTTTCTCCCAGATTCAACAGTTGAGGAGTGAGTGGGGTGGGGTGGTCTGGCCAAAGTCGCCCTCATGGAGATGTGCGTGAGAAGTAGGTGAGCCCCACTGAAAAGGACTGAGGCGCCGTGAGGCTGTGTGCTGGCGAAGGACACCAAGTCTCAGAGCATGCGTTCCCTTCCTTCCCCAGAGATGGTGTGCCCCAGGTTGCGTGTGGCGCTCCTGTCGCTGATGCGAAGCCAGCTGCACATTTGAACACCATGAAGCATCGTCACCCGGGCGACCTGTGGGCCCGCACACACATCTCATCCCTGGAATATGCTGCAGGAGACGTCACCCGGAAAGGGAGGAGGAAAGACAAAGCTCGAGTGAGTGAACTGCTCCAAGGCCTTGCGTTTTCTGGGGACTCCGATGTGGAAGAAAATAATGAGCCAGAGGCCCAGCCGGCTCCCAAAAAGCTAAAGTCTTCAAGTGTGCCAGAGAGGACTTGGGCCCAAAGAGACATTAAACCCAGCTTTCCCAGCTGGTCAGTGCTGGACTCTGGCCTGTTGAATCTCAAGAGTGAAAAGCTGAGCCCAGTAGAGCTCTTTGAATTATTTTTTGATGATGAAACATTCAACCTGATTGTCAGTGAGACCAACAAGTATGCCTCTCAGAAAGATGTCAGCTTGGAAGTCACAGTTCAGGAAATGAGGTGCGTGTTTGGGGTCCTGCTTTGGAGTGGAATTGTGAGACGACCCAGAAGGGGAATGTACTGGGAGATCTTGGATGCTGGTCAGAGCCAGGTCCGAGAGTCCATTACAAGAGACAGATTTGAACTGATTTTCTCATACCTGCATTTTGCAGATAATAGCCGCCTAGATCCAAAAGACAAGTTTACAAAGTTGAGGCCTCTCATAAAGCAAATGAATAAAAACTTCCTCCTGTATGCACCGCTCCAAGAATACTATTGCTTTGACAAGACCATGTGTGAATGCTTTGACAGTGGCCCGTCCCTGAGTGGGAGGCCTGTGAGGATCGGCTACAAAATGTGGTGCGGCACAACCAGGCAGGGCTATCTGGTTTGGTTTGAGCCCCATCAGGAAGAATCCACGATGACAGCAGATAAGGATCTCGATCTTGGTTTGGGGGGAAACCTAGTGATGCGTTTCGCTGATGCTCTTTTAGAGAGAGGTCAGCACCCCTACCACCTGTGTTTCGATGGCTTCTTCACAAGTGTGAAGCTAATGTCAGCCTTGAGGAAGAAAGGCCTGAGGGCAACGGGGGCCATCCGTGAGAACAGGATGGAGAAATGTCCCCTTGTGAATGCAGCGCACATGAAAACAATGAAGAAGGGGTATTTCGATTTCCGAGTGGAAGAAAAGGAGGAGATAATCTTGTGCCGTTGGCATGGCGACGGCGTTTCCAGCCTGTGCTCCAATGCTGTTGGCATCGAGCCCGTCGGTGAGGTCAGCTGCTTGGTGGATGACGAGATCTCTCAGATAAGCCGCCCATCCATAGTGGAATTGTATGATGAATGCAGGGAAGGTGTAGCTAACATGGATCAAATCATTTCCAAATACAGGGTGAGAATAAGAAGCAAGAAATGGTACTCGGTTTTGGTGAGCTTCATGGTTGATGTAGCCATGAACAACGCCTGGCAGCTGCACCGAGCCTGTAACCCAGGTGCCTCTCTGGACCCCTCGGACTTCCGGAGGCGCGTTGCGCATGCTTACCTGGAGCCCAGCGCTGGTCTGTCAGATCAAGGCCGATGAAAGAGACACTCGGTGGACAATGATAAGACCGAAGAATCGCAAGCACACATCAGCTTGTACTTTCCCAAAGCAAATCTGATGTAGGCAATGAAAGTACGTAACTAATATTTTAAAAATCAGAAATTCATGTAGATTTTCAAAGAATATTGTAACAAGTAATGTATCTTTTAAAATGTTGAACTCCAGTGGTACCTTTGTGTCTAATTCTGGTGTCAGACATGTGGGAACATATTTACTTGTTGAATTATTTTGTGCATTGAAGGAATGGAGTACTGCCCTTTTGCAGTAATTTCCTCTGGAGAATGTCACTTTTTACATGCAGGCAATGCCGTAGGCACCACGGAATGGCACTGAATCCATAGCTGAAAACCGAGACAGAAGCCATGAGATAAGGATGGTCTAAACCAAGCAGGGCTGGTGAGCGGCTGAAGACTCAGTGCAGGCGCGTGGCCAGTTCCGACTGTGTGCAGGCCTGAGCTGGTGAAGGAGAAGCAGGAGGTATGTTCGGTCAGGGTCAGGGTCAGGGTTAGGTGTGTCCCATTGTGATGGTGGAAGTCAGCTGCAGAAGCCAAGACTAAAGAAAACCAAGGAAATAGGGAGCAAATCAGAGTAACAATAGAATCTTCGTGAGAAGAAAGGAGAGGATAACAGCCGCCTTGACATGCAGCCCGTGTTGAAATCAACCAAGGTGACAAGGGCGTCCAGGACAAAGGTCGTCAGGATGGAGAAGCCAAGGAGCAGCACTTGAGGACAGGAGCTGGTGTGACCTGTGACCCCTCGTGTTCAAGTCCAGGGTCGGTGAGTCAGTCCAGAGCGTGAAGACCGACCACACCTCATGCCCGTGGGTCACAGCCACGTCCATGCGTTCCTTTCACACCCTAACAGTTCCAGTCCTATTGCAGGGTGGAGGGTAGACAGCATTCCCAAGGTTCCTTGAGATCTGAACCGAGAGAATGACTGTTTTTGTTTGTCCTACCCACCATCGTACCGAACACCTCCAGTACCTCTGTCCGCCCACTTCTGTGGTATCTACAGGTCAGCTCTCCGTGTTAAGGTCATATCCTTTACTAACCAGTCAGCTTTTTGAGAATCTCTTTTGTAACCAAGGCAGGACCTGAAATTACTCTATTTGCTGTACCATTCTGGATCCTGAGAACATACTGCAGCTGGGGGGGGGGGGGGGGGGGGGAGGTAGCTGTCCTGTACAGTGTACTTCAGCGCAGTGGGGCATGGCAGCAGCCTGGGTGGGAAAACAGTGCAGAGTTATTAGGGCTGGACTCCCAGGGGGACCAAGCTAAAGTTCAGTGTGTGTGACAGGTAGCACCTGATGGAGGACACCTCAGCTGCCACCCTATCCTGTGTCCTGAGATGCTCAGAGAGCCCAGAGCGGGACTGAGTGCAGGCTGGCGAAACTGCGGGGCTCAGAACACGGACCAGACCTGTTCTTCCCTTCGCCCTGGAGCTCATGGCAGGAGGGAGGGCCGAAGCTCTGGAACGGTTGCTTTTTCCTAACGCAGACATTTACAGGTAAAGATTTGGCTGAATTGGCTGGGCCAGAGCAGCGGACACGGCCCACTGGCCCAGGGCTCTCCCAGCAGCTCTCACCTCCTAGCCTAGGCAGGACCAGGGCCAGGCCATCTGGCCATGGCCATGACCTGTGCTAGGAGGTGTGTGTGGGTCTGCACTACCTTCTCCCCTTCGTCCTGGGACAGGGATTCTGCACCTCACACTGTCACACTCGGTTGTCCTTTCACGTGACAACCACCAGCTGACTCCGTGTTTGCCAGGGTCAGGCCCCAGGGACACAAAGATGACTTCACTAAAGGCAGCCGTTTTCAGGACACACATCCGGCAGGGAGAGAACAAGGGTGCACAAGCACTGTTTTATTTTTTAATATGAAGTTTATGGAGCGCTGTCGGGGCACCCTTTCTACAGCTCTCTTGTTTATTTTGCAAGGAAGATAGGAAGTGTCCTTCGGCCTAAGAGGGTGAGAAAGGCTGTTCAGAGGAGGGGATGTTTAGTGGGACTGCTGTTTGCTGTGCAGAGGCGGCGGGGGGCGGGGTGGGTGTGGGTGTCCCAGGGCCCTGAACTCGGGGAAGAAATCTTCGCTGCTCCTCCCGGGGACCTCCTCGGCCCCTGAGCGCACAGATGGGTTGCTGGCTGAGTGACCTAGTGACAGGCAGAGGGCGATCCCCCACCACCGGGAATCTTCTGCAGAAACAGCTGTGGTACAGGGAGGCCTGAGTGCGGCCCAGGCTCAGGCTGGCAAGAGAGTCAGGGGGCAGCATGGCCCTGGACACCCGGGTGGCCGAGGATGGGGCCGGGATCCTGGCCGTGAAGGCCGAGGAAGAGGAGGTCCTGGGCTCGCGCCAACGCTTCAGTGGCTTCCGCTACCTCGAGGCCAGCGTTCCCCACCGCATGTTGCTCTGGCTCCTCCAGCTCTGAGGGCTGTGGCTGCAGCGCACAGCAAGAAGCAGATGCTGGAGCTGCTGGTGCTGGACCCTGGGTGCGGGAATGATGACCGCAGAGCGGCGAGGAGGCCGTGGAGCTCTGACCTCCCTGGGTAAGATGTATGGGCACCAGTGGCTAATGAGGTTTTCTCGCTTCCTTGGTGTGTTAGAACCTACTGGGCTGTTAGAAGCCACTGGGACCCGCTGTGTTTGGGTTTGGAATCACAGTGTCTAACCCTTGTCACCCACCAGCACCTTAACCGTCCTGTGCTTTAGGCAGGTGGAGTGGGGTGAAGAGGCAGGACAGATTTGAGCTGTGACTGAAGACCTTGCCACATTCTTCCCACGCATAGGGTTTTCTCCCAGTGCAGACTCTATGGTGAATGACGAGGGCCAAGCTTGGAGCCAGTGCCCAGTCTGAGGTGATTGCTTTCCTGTGCCTTAGCCTAGGGAGGGGAGAGCTGAAGGGTCTCTTCATGAAGCAGGCCACAGTGTTACAGGGTGCAGCCAAGAGGGGGGACCCCAAATGGGCATTTTAAAATGGGGTCCAGAACTCAAGGTGTCTAGGAGATTTTAGGATGTCTTCACCCCCCTCCCCCCCACCAAGGATGTGGGTTGGGGGAAGGGACAAATGGAGCAGGGCCATTGAGAGCTGTTTTGCATAGCAACAGCCTTGCAGCTAAGCTCTGGTGTGGTCATTTAACACATCTATAGCCTTTGGCTGGTCGCTTAGATATGTTAAATAGCTGTGGACATGCTCTGAGCCAGGGGAATGGAAGTAACTTCCCCACCAAGAAGTAACTGGGGGGCAGGTCCCCTGAGTTGCAACACCTGCGTGGGAGCTGGGAGAGGATTGGCACCAGGACTTGGGGCCACACCTGCCCAGACTCATGATGGCAGTCCAGTAAAGCTGGAAGGATATGAGTTCTGGGATGTGAAGCCAAGTGTAGAGGGTGAACCATGCGCAGCCCTGAGAGGGAGAACCACACAGCTTTAGCAGAGTGAAGACTCCTGCAGCCCTGAGAGAGAGAAACACGTGGCTCTGGCAGAGTGGGGACTCCCGTGGCCCTGGGAGAGAGGACCACGCAGCCTTGACAGAGTGGGGATGCCCGCAGCTTTAGAAGGGGGAACCACAACCTGGTTTTAGCAGAGATCCTGGTGACTCAGCTGAGGGTGCCGGGAACCCAGGGAAGTCTCCCAGTCGAGATGGAGTACTAACTGGGAACAACCAGAGGACTGCCTGAGCCATGGACTTGGTTTTCCTTTCCTGAGATACGGTACTCTGGACTGGGCAAAGGGGGAAGGAAGGACTGTGTCTGTTTGTGGGTCTTTTAAGGGACTTTAGGATTTTTTGATAAAGACATTAGGTCACTAATTGAAGTTTGTATAGCATTAAATAAACATTTCCTTTCCTCTTCACGAATCTCTGGCATTGAGAGACATCTTTCCTCGGGCGGCAGACAGAACGGACCTGGGGCCTTCTTTCAATAATAGTATATCGTCCCAGGCCCCCCCTTGTTTGTTCTGTAACAACGGGACCAGAGCACACAGGTGGAAGCCACTTAGTGACCACCAGGGAGCCTGACTCAGAGATGAGGGCCCAGGGGCTCACAGGAGGCGGGGCTTGTCTGAGTTCCCCTGTTGCTCCAACCCAGATTCCCCAGTGCAGAGGCCATTTGTGTGGGGGGACCCCAACTCTGCCTGGGACAAGCAGACGGGACTGTGCTTTCCTGAGCTCCTTACTCTGATTTGTACCGAACGCTCTGAAGTCCGTTCACTTGCCTTGCATACAATCCTGCCCAGTCCTTTATTCTCCTGTCCAGGGTGCAAGGCCCTGCCTGACCATCACCACAACTTAGGGCCCAGCATGGGCCTCACCCCTTCCCTCCACTCTCAGTTTGTACCCTTCTTCCGATGGACCCGTTCCTGTGCCCAGGTCTCCTTCCCCCCCAGCACCCCTGTTCTCCCTCTGAGCCTCCATCCTGATTCTCGCACCTAAATCCTCGTCCACATCAGAGCCAGACTGCTGCTGTTCTTGCCTCCCTGGGACTAGCAGGGAGCTTTCCTCTGAGGCAGGGCGTGACTGACAGTTGCTGGCCCTTTGTTATTTCAGGTGGTGAAATACAGACGAAGACCAGAGACTTGCCTCTAGCCGAGGAGCAGACGGAGCAGGGGCCAGGGCAGATGCGGTGCCACCTGGGTGAAGCCATTGCCCAGACACCCCCACACTCAGAGGCCAGTGGCCAGGAGGACAGATCACTGAGAAAGCCGAAAAACAGCAGTGGGAGAAGGCGGCACATTTGCCACGAGTGTGGAAAGAGCTTTGCCCAGAGTTCAGGCCTGACTAAGCACAGGAGAATCCACACTGGGGAGAAACCCTATGCATGTGAAGAATGCGGCAGGGTCTTCAGTCACAGCTCCAACCTTATCAAGCACCAAAGAACACACACTGGGGAGAAGCCCTACGAGTGTGAGGACTGTGGGAAGACCTTTAGCCAGAGCTGCAGCCTCCTTGAGCATCACAGAATCCACACCGGGGAGAAGCCGTACCAGTGCGGCGTATGTAGCAAAGCCTTCAGGAGGAATTCCCATCTCCTGAGACATCAGAGGGTCCACGGCGATGGAGATGTCCAGGATCCTGAGCGGAGAGAGATTCGGGAGAGTCACAGGAAGCTGGTGAGCCAGGAGGGGGATGTCCAGGCTCCCGTGTCTTATAAATGTCGTGAGTGTGAGAGAAGTTTCACGAGGAACAGAAGCCTTATTGAGCATCAGAAAATCCACACTGGTGAGAAACCCCACGAGTGTGATGCATGTGGGAAAGGCTTCACCCGAACTTCATACCTCGTTCAACATCAAAGAAGCCACATTGTGAAAAAAACTGTGTCCCGGTGACTCGTGTCTTGGGTGCTCAAGTCTCTGCTCCTTCCTTGTTGAAGGGAGCCTCCCTGGAGCCCCTCCTGACCACAGAAACTGTGGGCTGGGGCTTTGTGTACCACACGTCCTCAGGCAGGTGTTAGATCTTCCACTTTCTAGAGGGTGGATGTTTTTTTTTGCAAAAACCTCGTTTGAAAGGAGGCTCTGGATTGTTGTTTGGGAGACGCAGGACCTGACACGTTTGTCCCCACCCATTGGACTTGTGGGGCTTCCAGCCTGGCTCATCCCCTCGGCCACCATCTCCCCTGGGTCGGTGGTTCTGACTGAGGGGCAGCTGCCGTGCCTACTCGGTCTGCCCGGGTTGGCTCAGTGACGTCCTATCCCCCCATGGTGCCTTGCCTGTAGGTGCTACATGTGAAATGATGTTTGCTTCTCTGGAAGTCCGAGGTCTAGAATTCTGAGGAATTGCTTACTATGGCCATCTGTGTGTGTGTCGACATCTTTGAGGTTCTAGATTTCAGGTCCATGTAATCCATTGTCTGTTAAGCCCATAGTGTTCGCAGAATGAGGGTGAGGACTGCATACTGTGATGGAAACCAGAATTTTTTTAAATAACTAGGCATTCCAGTATGAATTCTGTAAACATCATGTTTTTTATTCTTAAGTAATTGTAATCATATGCCAACCATGGAATTTCATTCTTTTTTAAATGTTTTCGTGACATTCATCTGCTACTCTTTGGGGAGATGATGTAATTCAGGCAGTGTAAAAACCAGTCATGAAGTAAGAATAAAATACAGATAAACTATGTAATGCTCAGCATCTTGGTTCTCACCTTTCATCTCTCTTGGGCAACCAGGTGCTCTTAAAAGCTGCACCACCCTGCCTGGACACCCCACTTCCCCACCCCCTACCTGCAGCATACCAGGGGTGTCCAACCTGCAGCCCCCAGGCCACATGCAGCCCAACATGAAATTGTAAATGTACTTAAAACATGAGATTTTTTTGTGATTACGTGGCATAATGTGTTTAATGTGTGGCCCAAGACAACTCTTCTTCTTCCAGTGTGGCTCAGACACCGAAAGTTTGGACACCCTGGTAGATGGTGCATCAAGACTTACGCTCCAGATCAGTGGATATTTAATTAAGTATCGCTCATGGCTTCAAAATCCATTATTAGTGTGTGACCATCTTGGCCTTCTTATGTGCTGATTTTCAAGCAGCATTTGGTGCTGTCTCCTCCATTAATCACAATGAGCACTGCAACCATTCGGGTGACTCCTCAGGCTTTCCTCTACTTTCCTGCAAACATCTTTTGTAGACCATCTCTTCTTCATGTTAGTCAAAATTTCAGTCTTGTGAATTCAGGTGAGAAAACTTTCTAGTCAGCAGTATGCAAGAAGTATCATGTATATTTCAAATGCAGCTACTTCTACAAAAGTATGCCTGGGTAACTACTTCCTATACTAACTTTGTTAGTGTATCACTTTTATTTATTATAGAAATACGCTTTTGTTGTTTCATCTGCTCATATTTCTCACTTGATTTCTGGTACCAGCAGCCACTTCCCTATTTACAGTATCATTCAGAGACTCTGGAATTCCTATATAGCAAGGTTTTCCAGTCACTTTTCGCAACTAATTAATTTGCATTGTGATAGATTCTTTCCTGTTTACCCCAAAGCCTTTGCAGGTGTATCCAAATCCCTGTTTTTCTCTCAGCTTCCAAGCCTTGGTACTTAGAGTAAATTATTTGTTTTACACGAATAAACCATATGCTTGAAGTATTTGACTGAATTCTTAAACTGACAAAAACACATTGCATAGTTCCCAAACTTTCTTCACATATGAGTATTAGTCATGGTTCTTCCGAGAAACTGGAAGATTTAATCCAAGGAGTTGGCTGACATAAGACATCTAAACATTTGCAGACAGTGAGGTGGAGATGCAGGAGAGTTGGCGGGGCAGCTGCAGGACACTTCGTCCCTAAAGTATGTACTTTGACTTTGGTGGCTTATAAAGGTATCTTTCAGTGATACTATTATCCCTTTTATTCATAGGCAGATTCCATAGAATTCACAGATTCCAACTTCTGTTTATAGAGTCAAGTGTGTGTGCGCTGTCTCTCTCTCTCTCTCTCTCTCTCTCTCTCTCTCTCTCTTGTGCACTCACACACTGGAAAACCTCCCTGGGAAAATGCTGGGGATGACACAAGTTACGATAATAGTAATTTCAAAAAAGAATCGGCACTGCCCTGATTGGGTGGCTCAGTGGGTTGAGCATTGTGCTGCAAAGTGAAAGGTTGCTGGTTTGATTCCCAGTCAGGGAGCATATCAGAGGCAACTGATTGGTGTTTCTCTCCCTCCCTTTCCCCTCTCTAAATAAATATGTAAATTTTTTTTTAAATTAAAAAGAATTGGTACTATGATAGAGCCTGAGTGAGTAGCAATTTTTGCTTTCTTTGCATTTGCTGATTAGCCATCTTCAAGGACTACCCCAAGATTTGCATATATTTAAGCATATTTTTAATACATGGATCTGTATTTATTGTAATGATTGTGTTCTATGGGCTTCATTCCCTAACACCTCCCTATCCATGACCACACACCCCTTGGTCATAGCTGAATGTAACAGCACCGCATGGTGGACCACACGGGGGAGCAGCAGTCATGTGGTTTCAGCTGGCAGGCACTAAGGTTCCCATCCATGCGCCAGTCTTCTAGTTCAGTAGAACCATAGTGCCCTTCAGAGACCATCTTGCTTCTTCCAGAAAGTAGTTGATGTCTGCAACCTTTGTCGGTCTTCTGTGGAAGAAGGTACCATATTCTGAGTCCAACACCCATTCAAATGCTTGTAAGGCAGCTAGTATTGTTCCTTTTGCTCCTGATCCCTGAGACCAAAAAGGTGGTGGTGCTATCTGCAGAATCAGTAACTGGCTGTGAGCTTGCTCTCAGAGTAAATTCTAGACTGAAGAGGGGAAGCTGGATCCCAGATTAGCATAATACCCCTTCACCAGAGAAGCAGAAGGATGTAAGAATCTTCTCTCCTAGTGCTACATGCTAGCTGGGTTTTATAATCATGCAATCTATATTTTAGGTTTGTAAAGGGTAACAAAGGCGTGTGTAGCATACAAGCCTTCATTGGATATTCATGCCAAGTAAGGGGGAAGGTCAGTTCCTCCTATTACTGTGGACTTCTATGCACACTCCAATCGAAATAAGAGAAATGGAAACATAGAGCTATAATTATCTTATTTAACAGTTATGATCACAGCATACCTCATTTAGGATCTTGGAACAAGATAGAACAAATACATACCTGCATCATGGGCTCACCACTGCACAGCAGGTATCTATAATAAAGAATTGTTACAACTTGACAGGCATGACTACATTGTACTGTTGCTGTGGGTTAAATTGTGCGCTCCCAAAAAGATATGTTGAGACCCTAACCCCTGTTCCTACTAATGTGACCTTATTTGAAATGAGTCTTTGCAGATGTAAAAGGAATGAAGATGTGGTTCTGTTCACTTAGGACGGGCCCTATGCAATACGACTGGTGTTCTCAGAAGAAAAGCAGAAGATGCAGGCGTGCAGAGGAGTGCTGTGTGGCTCTGAGGCACAGACTGGTGGGCTGCCCCCGGGAGGCCAGCCAACCACCAGAAGCTAGAAACTGTCTCAAGGGTTGGAGGCCCCGCCCATACCTGCGTTTTGAATGTCCAGTCCCTGAAACAGCACGGCATTAAATCACTGCTGCTGTGTTAAACCACCTAGTTTGTGTCACTCTTAATGCAGACTAGGAAAACAAGACAACATGTGGAATTTATATTAAAATGCCTATGTCAATGTAATAACACTTTTGTAGTTACACTGAATTTGGCATATCTTCTATCAGAACATACGCTTTCTTGCTTCAGATCACCAAGAAGAGCAAGATCATTTCAAAACCAGGCTGTGGACTGAGTTATGAGTGGTTTCATTGATCTTTCGGAAGTAACAGCTTCTCATGCATGGGAAATGACAGGATTAGACCCCTAATTTAGAAAGGTCAAGCTGGCCGCCATGTGGAGGCTGGATTGGATGAGCTGCGGACAGGAAGCAGAGGGAGCAGTGAGAGGACTGGTGCGAGGCGGTGCTGGCCTGCGCTGAGGGGTCTGTGCGTTTGCAGAGCAGGGGTGTGGGCATCAGAGAGACACTGTGGTCAGTACTGCCCTGAGGAGGAAGCCAGACCGGTGCAGGAGTGTGTGAGTGCCCATGGGGAACCTGTCTCTCTGGACACCAATCAGAGAGCTCATTCTGCTGAAAGAAGACTATCTGCTAGACTTGATTTATCCAGCTCATAAAGAAAGGACACAGAAGGGAAGAGGGAGGGAGAGTGAGGTTGATCACACATAGGGCAGAAGCTAAATGCCCCACCTCACCGAATCCTCTCAGCCACCCTGAGAGGGGCAGTTGCCCCATTTGGCAGAGGAGGAAACTGAGTTTACATTCATTTGCCTGAAGTCACAAATCTAGTGGGTGGTGGAGCCAGAAGTCAGCTCTGCACCAGTCTGGGACTCAGGCTCTTTCCTGGTAAGGAAACTGCCACCCTAGACTCCATTCTGAGCCCCTAGAAGCTCATGCCGGCTGAAGCCTCAGTGGAAGGGAACACAGGCAGAAGCAGACCAGTGCTCTGGACAGAAGAACCGATTCTAAACGGCAGGGGGACAGGCAGGGAGCAGATGTGGGGAAGTCACTGTTACAGGAATCTGGTGCTGGTTGTGCTTCTGTGAAGGGCCAAACCACCGCCTCCTCCCCACCTGCTCCTTTCCCAGCTGCCTGCCCAAGTCCCACCCCAAACACCAGTGGCGGTGAGTGTGTGGCAAGCTGGACCATTAGGTTATGTGCAGCTTTTCTTCAACTAGAAAAGCCAAAATTTGACCCAAAGCTGTAAAGACTGGATCACTGAATTTGTTAAGGCATTGTGTGTGCCTGCTCTTCTGGCCCATTTAGGCCTGGGTCCTGGACTTTGAACTCTGTTAGAATGAGTCTTGTTCAGTTTAAATGCCTTTAAAATGCGGATAACAAATGTTCCTGCCTCATCTAGCAAATGGGAGCAAAAAACATGCGATGGGTCTAAAATAGGAAGTATATCAAAGTGAGCTTATTAGCAAGCCTGGATGCCCTCCCCTGCCCTCCCTGGATTCTCGTTTTACTCCAGAGCGGACAGAGCACTTAAACCGTTCAAATATGGTCTTTGCTGCCACCTCGTAGGAATTTCGGGAATAAGACGTCAGTCGATGTGACTGTGAAAAACTGTTCTCTGCTGCCCTCTCGTGAGCACCTTGAAAATAGCACCCGAATGGAAGGAAATCAGGAAACGCTCTTTTCTGCGGCTGGCGTGCACCTTGGGAATACAGGTGGAGTGGCGGGCACCAGGAAAAGCTCTGCTACCTTCTGTGCACCTTGAGAACAACACCCAAGAGCAAGGTGCCAGGAAACGGTTTTCCCTGCTGCCCTGCAGTGTTCGCCGGCGGACGGCGCCCGGCGGCCCCTCGGAGCAGGTTGCGCTCTGCTGCCGTCTAGTGCGCGTCCCGGGAGGAGCACGGGCGTGCAGTTCGCGGAGAAGAGCGCTTCTTGCTGCCCCGCGCGCGTCCCGCGCGGCGGGACAGTCTCCGCCGTTCGACCGTGTGAAAGAACGACCCCCGCAACCGAGGCGCGGAGACCGCCGGCCTCTAAAGCGCACGCGCGCCGCCGGTGTGGTCCACAGGAACCTGGCCGCCGGCCCGCGTCCTCCG